TCCAGAACATTTGGTTGGTTGAGCTCATTTTATTCTATCAATTATTGTTCCATAATATTCTTGGTTTCTGAACTTAAATGTGAACAAAGCTGTTGTGAACTACACCCAGGTCAAAGCTGACCTGTGATCTTTTAGTTCTTTTTCTATTTAAAGGGGTCATTTTTCACCATCGCACTGCTCCGGTCTATAAAGGACTCCTCACCTTTTTCCTCTGGAAAACCTTTCCGTGTTCAATGAAGAGCGCCGAAGGAGCTCGCCGCAGCGAGTTTTTAGCGGAGGCCGTCCGTCGCAGCAAAGGGTTCAGGAAACCCGCCTGGACCAGAGGAGACAGCCGAGGTAACATGAGAAACCAGTGGAACCAGTGAGCGAAAAGTTTCTGGAGAGCGTGAGCTCCTCAGGAGCAGGTTGTCTCACCTGAGCACGCTCAGTGCAGATGGCCAGAGACTGCCTGAAGGAGGTGCGTTTGTTTCGCCTCACAGCGGACACCAGGTTGGCTTCAGAACCGGTTCTCAGCTGCACCGTCGGTGCGTCAACCAGCTTCAGTTTCTGGACGTCGCGCTGCACTGCTGCCGCCTTTGTGTCTGAAAAACCAGAGTCCAGCTTGTTACGCCTTCTTCTTTCAGAACGAACAATTCCTTATCTTAAAACTTTAGTCTTGTTCTGACTCACTGCTGCCGCCGCTTAGAACCGTGTTGCTGTAGGTCACAGAGTCCCTGGAGGCCATCGAGTTACGGTGAACTGAATCCTGAGAGCTGTGAAGCTGTGTCCACAAAAACGACACATATGATGCAGACAGAAGACGTCATCATCAGTCAAACCTTCTACAGAACATCACCAGAATCAATTTGTTCTACATTTGAAGATGCAGCAGGTCCTATTGTTTCAATTAAACAAAGGCTCCAGATATAAAGGAAAACCTTGGATCTCAGTGAATCTAAACCTCATCCATCATTCACTTTAGCAGGATGTTTGACATCATTCCTTGGTCTGGATCGTACCATGGGTTCCAGTAAGGAGGAGTTGGAGTAGACGGGCTGGTTTCTGATGGTTCTGCTCAGGCAGAAGGGATCGTCCATGTAGGTGTTGGAGGCGGGAAATCTGCGAGTTTGCAGGCCGCTGAGAAGAGAAGATTAATGGGAGATTTAAGATAATAAAACCTTAATGGAGCATGGTGACAGTTAATGTAGTCATTCATGGTGAACACACGTCCCTCATTTCAAGAAACAGTCCCTGTTTTGGACCACCTGTCTCCAGGTAAAGCTGTCCCCGGAAATGTCCCAGATTTGACCGTTTTATGGGGAATATTTTCCATATAAACTGTTATTATAGTAGAAAGAGCGTGCGAGCATGCTGAGGACAGAAACAGCTGTTAACTTATAGATGAGGAGCAGAGTGCACCAGTTTTAAGATGAGGAAGTTCGTTATGGCAGCCAGCTGGATGCAGCTACCTGTGTTACCCTAAAATCCCGCCCCGCCCCAAACCGCCTGTGCAAAGCCAAGCCTACAGTCATGGCCAAAAGTATTGAGAATGACACAAATATTCTATTTTCACCTGATCTGCTGCCCTCTGCTTTTCATGTCAGATGATGTCATCACATCCAGAAATACAATTGCAATCATATTCTGAGTAACAAAAGCTTTTAATGACAGGTTAAAATGAGTTAATACAGTAAGTCAATAGTTGCAGTGTTGACCCTCTTCTTCAGGACCTCTGCATTTCTCCCTGGCTGCTCTCAATCAACTTCTGGACCAAATCCTGACTGATAGCGTCCATTCTGCTCAATCAAATCTTGCATTTTATCAGAAGGTTTTCGTTTGTCCGCCGTCTCTTGATGATTGACCACAAGTTT